GCTGGCGGTGAAGCCAGGGAGCTTATTTCCCAAGCACCTGTCTCCTGGCCCAGGTTGATGGTGAGGGTGTTTATGGTTGAGGGGCTTAGGGTGTATAGGGGCGTGGCGCCAACAGCCACCTGAACCGTAGGCCAGACGTGAAGGCCCAAAATATCTAAGCTCGCGATAAGAAAACCTCGCGACTGAAAGTACGCCACCGAAGTAACCAACGAGTACAGCTAGAGGAGCTGGTCATGTTGCACACCTACGTCCGAAGAATGCAACAGCTTCAGAGTCTTCAGCCTTCGCCGACGGCCCGTACACATTTTCTGAAATTGCAGAGGTCGAGGAGAAAGCTTGGCTAGCCTGACAACGCTCGGTATCATGCGTTTTTTGGGATCACGTGCATGCCCATGATGCAGCCGCCAGCAAGAGGAAGCTGCTCTGCCCAAATTCCCAGAATGCCAAGGCCCCCGAGGCTTTGGCTCTTGACCAGCTTATCCTTGCGTACCCCAAAGTGACTGCGCGCACATTTTCTAGTCTTGACAATCGAAACCGGAACCCCCCCGAAGCCAATTATAGCTCTAGACCCTCGAGCCGAGCTCGAGTGAACATCCCAACTCAGGCTCTATCTTCTCGCGCCTTCCTACCAGGCAGCCCTTGGCAGCCGGAGGGTGGGTGGAGGTTTGAAATTGTCGGATCCTTGACAGCTCACAGAATTTAGTTCGACATGACGGTCCAGCTCATACAACTCTACAAAATATTGTCTTTCAGCCAGAAAACAGAAAAGCCAAGCAGCCATGTGGTGCGGAAAGCCCCAAGATCCTATGGACACTGAAAGCCAGCAGGGCCGATGCAGAAGTCATCACCGCGAGCTTTTACGTGTAATGAGGGAAGGTTTTAGGGTTAAGGGTTTAGTTAGGGTTTAGGGTTAGGATAGGCCTGAGCTCCATTTCGGCCCAGCTTGCTTTCTGGACGATGGCTCTTTCACGGTTGCAGCTTTGATTGTCTTCTCACAGATTGGAGGTTTCCTTTAACAGTCTAAGATTTTCATGCCTGGCACAGATTAAATCCCAGACGTAAACTGCAGCTCTCAATCCCGTAGAGCCCATGTGGTTCCGCTACCTTGGAGGTTTGCTGTGACTATATTGCCGAAATCCCCCGAGGATGGATCTTATCATCTATCCCCCAATGGCTTGCCTGCCGCCTAACGGCTTTCTCTATGCCAGTGAGAGGTACTTGACCAGAGGCTGCACACGACCCACATGCCGCGCTGCTCCTTCTTCGAGGTGGCGATGCATCCGACAGTAGCTTCGCCTTGGGCTTGGGGGCAATTTATTCCCTTATTTAGAGCAAGCAAGGTAAGTATACTTAGGGGACAAGTGGGTCGTAACGATACTTGTGTTAGGTTAACAGACCCGCCCATCCTCCACCTCCAGGTACGCTAAACAGGTAATCTGGAGCTCTGTTTGAGCTGTGGTCGAACTCCAGACGCTTCTGTGAATCCCTGCCTGGCAATGCCAAGCATGGGAGTCCAAACCTGCACCTACACAGCCTTCAAACCTCAAAGAAGTTAACCATGTTGTGCTGAGGCTACTTGTCTTCAACTTGAGACAGCAGCCTTAGGATTTACGAGGCTTTAACTGCAAGTTCTGGGGCTCACACATAGGTGCAAATAGCTTGGTCTGCTTGACAAAAACCGTGCGGCTCAGATTTCTTATTTTTCCAATAGTCCCCAAGATCGCAGTGAAGGCCCAAAGCAACCCTTACATCGCAACTCATGTTGGCGCATGCCGTGAGGATCTTGCCCTCATGTCGGGTCACAGTGGCAAGGCAGCGCAGGCCTGCGCTCGGAGTGATTGGGGACGTCCAGTGGTCTATTCACGGCTTAGGGCTTGGTTCAGGTGTTGCCGTGCGGTCTTATGCAGTGTGAGGTTTCCAGAGGGGTTTGGCCGCAGGACATTCGAAGTATCTTGCAACGAGTGTACACTGTGCTTCTTTCGGAGTATGCGCCAACGAAACACCCATTTCGGCAATCATAAATTCGCCGAGAAGTGTATTGGCACCTGCAGTTGTGGATTGTGGTGGCAACACACAGCTGAGTCCACATACGCCAGGCTCGACCCAGCCTGAACCCAGAGAGCCCAAGACCCCTTAAACAAGGAATATACCTTAAATTACAGGGGCCCTTGGCTCTCTGCGAAACCCCCAATTAAGTCTGACCCTCGTTCGTTCGCCCCGTTAGTCCCCGGCTGCAGGACTTCGCAGACCGTGTTGCCAGAATGCCGGGTCCCACTGCCAAGCACAAGGCCGAGTGTGCGAACTGGTCTCGGGTATGATTGTGAGGGGGCCTGGCTCGTCGTGTTACAGGGTTTCAGGGTTTAGAGTTTAGGGTAGAAGGCAATGCTGGCAGTCATCAAGTCCGGTTTCAAAAGGGTCAGGGTTTGCAGGGATTTGAGTCTCTAGGACTCAAGCCTGGGTCGCTCTGGCTTGCGGGATTAAGCGGTCTCGGGTGATAGTTTACGGTGTTATGTCGTGGGTAGACCTCCCATCTTAGTCTTCACGCAGGGGTTTCGGCTTGGAGGTGTTAGTCATGTTGAAGATGTGCAGTGCTTTACGTGTCCGGTACATGTTTAACCAGTTTACCCGAATGTTGGTAATTGTTCGTCGAAGCTCTTTTTGATGCATACGTCATACATTCTGTTGTGCAGCTCACTATTGCAAGTCTTGTAGGAATATAGGATACGAAGCACCTCCGGGCCCCCTTAGACTTACTGGGAATCCAAGTTCCTGTCTCCTGGGTCCGACAGTAAGCCCTGTAGCCCGGTCAGGCCATCGTCGATGCGCAAGATGAGAATGCAGCCGACTGTACTTCGGCTTTGCAAAAAAAGGCTGATCCTACAGTACCTACTTATATAGAGCTTTCTCGATTTGAGGGCTTAGAAACGGCGAAGCCTTGTCGTATCCGACACGGTTCCTCAGACGTGAACAGCGGCACACCTTTGGAAGCTCTTCGAGCACTTGGTGTCCAACTGCTGTACCCCCAAGGCTGGCCCAAGTGCTCCAATCTGTTAGCCTTCACCCGGCCCTATTAGATGACTGTGTCGAAGACATTTTCAGGTGGGTAGTTGGCGTTATAGGAGCCTTATAGAAGGTCTATATGTACCCTGTAGAAGCCTTATGGAAGCCCTAGATACCCTAAACTCCCCACCTGTAGTTTCCTTTGACTGTGGGCTCGCAGACGAGCTCTCTCAACGTGAAATCCCCGACGCGTCTGAGGTATGGCCAGCTTGCTTCAGATGCACTGCTGCAATCTTGGGGTTCGAGGTGAAGCACCCTCTTCAGCATGCCAGTCCTCAGGGCTTTGGCAAGAGGGGGTTTCTGACAATCGACGTTGTTTTCCGTGTATCTGTGTTGTTTTGGAAGGGAGGGGTTTCCCGTTGTACGTACGTATGTGTATGTGTATGTGTGCTGTTTTTGTACATGTATCTACACGGCGGCAACGTTACTACGATGGTAACAGCCAAGTCCGTCTCCACAACAGAGAGCACGACGGCCGAATACTTCGAACAGCCGAGGTACTGTTGAAGAGGGAACCCAATGCCCCTTAATGAGCCACATACTTTACATCAGTTAGAGTCCTTCTGTACAATACTTCAAGGGATATTGCACTTGCACATTGGGGGTGTTGCGATAGCTAGTTGGCTAGTTGGGAAACTAAACCACCGCAGCCGCGGAGCTCGAAGGAACGGTCGAGGTCCCCATCAGCCCGAAGAAGTTTCGCCTGAAGATACTTAAGCATAGTGGGATAAGGAGTCTTTCAGGAGTTTAGGATCCACGCTGCCAGTTTGCAGATTGTGTGAAGTTGGCTGCTATGCAATGGCTTCCTGGTTCGATGGGACTGATGTTGTTTTAATGTTCCTTATGTCATCTTGTCACCATTATCTCTGGCTTCATTCAGTGAACTATACTCGTAGGATTAGCCATGTTGCCTCTACTTCTATGTCGATATCGATGACATTGTGCATGCCGGGTGTTGGTCTTCTCGTAGATTCCGTCCAGAGAACCCAATACCCCTTAATTAAGGAATATACCTTAAATCATATAATATTAACGCCCCTAGAATTTAAGGTGCATCTCCTTAATTCCCTTATAGAGACCCTTATAGATCAATTTAAGGAACCCTATAATTCCTTAATTAAGGGGTCTTGGGCTCTCTGGGTCTGTAGGGACCGACTCGCTCGGAGCTTCCGCGCCCATGGCAACAGTTGGAGTCCTTGGGGTCGCGCCCCGGGTATGAAAAGGGCTTTTGGGCTGTTTTTGGGCGGTTCAGGGTTTTAGGGTGATTTGTTGGGGGGTTCAGGGTTTTAGGGTGTTTTTTTGGGGGTTCAGGGTTTTAGGGTGATGATTATTATAACTGCGTGCTGACAGATATGGTTTGCACTCGCTGATTTCTGAACTTTCAGGCCGGGCGTGCAGCGTGTTGCTGGCTAGTGCTATTGCTTCTGACTGAGCGGGATCGTTTTGATGCCCAACTTCGTAAGAACCCTTGAGAAGTTGATTCTTGTGTTTGGGTGAATCTGACTACACCTTCGGTAGACATTGCTAAACCCGAGTCAGGCCATGAGTTTTCAGGGTTTCGAAAAAAAGATTTCAGCATTCCCGCTTTAAGAGATTGTTAGGGCCTCAAACCCTAAACCCTAAACCCCTAAACCCTAAACCGTTAGGGATGTCATCTGGTGGTGAGCATCAGAAGTCAGAAGCTCCTTATCCGAGTAGGGAGGCCCTACAACACACCAGACTTCAAGCTCCAAAACACAGCAAGCCCCAGATAAACCCAAGCCTGGGGGTCTAGGGGTTGAGGGCTTAGGGTTTCAGGGTTTAGGGGTTTAGGGTTTAGGGGTTTGGGGTTTAGGGTTTAGGGTTTATGGGTTTAGGGTTTAGGGTTTATGGGTTTAGGGCTTAGGGTTTATATGGGTATATGGGTTTAGGGTTTAGGGGGTTAGTAAAGGGGAAACCAGGTGCTAGCAGCCGTGCTTCTATGCTTCAGCTGCCCTCCAGCCGCTTTCAGCCCAGTGCCGCGCGGTGCCTTCAGAAGTTCCGGTGGCCAACTCCACACGAAGGCTGCTCATGCATAAGGTAGGGCTTTTGAGGATATAAAACAGTAACATGTCCATGCCTTCAGTGATTCTAGTTAATTCAGCGTCGGCTTGAAGGACTGTGGGGCATGCTGGTTTGAGGACTTGAGTTTAGAACGCTGGCTCGACGGGTACAGGATTCGAGGATCTGCGGAGTAGGGACGATTCAGGGGGGGTTTAAAGCTACGGGGCACTGTGAAGATCCCACCCCCTGAGTGCCGTCAGCACTCTCAGCCTTTGTGTCGGGGTTTGGTTAGATGCCTTAGCTGTCCGGATTGAACCCGAGGCCGAACAAGGTCTCTACCTTGAACACCCCGTGACACGCCTTGTCCACCATTTGCGAGATTTGAAAAAGCTTTCAAATCCGCTAGCCCAGATGACACATTGCAAGCCCAAGGCGGCTATGCCAGAGAACAAAGCCTAAACCGCTTCTTCGTGTGTTTGATGATGTGTGTCCGCATCGCAGATCAGTGTGAAGGTTTCGGCTTGCTGGGTGTATCTTTCGATGACGCCCCGTACAATATCCAAAAACTCCTGTAAACCCTAGACCCCGAATCCTCCTGGAACCCTGCAATGTGGGCTTGTCCTAGCTAGGTGGGAGGAAAAAACAAGCCCTCCCTGAACCCCTTCTGCCTCAAAGCCCTAGAAACCCTAAACCCTGGTAGAAGTGCGAGAGTCGAAACCCTGGTAGAACCCGAAATTGAACAGTTTACCTAGAGTCTCCATCGTAGTTCCTTGTTTTGGTTTAACCCAATCTATATTCAGGATCCAAAAAGGTAACCCCAAAAAGGAACTACGATGGAGACTATAAGTAAATTTAAAAGGAACCTAAACCCTAAACCCTAGACCCTATAAACCCTAAACCCGGAATTGAACAGTTTCAAAAGGAACCCTACAGCCGACCCAGAGGCTTCGCGAGTGATGGGCAGGAGCCAGGCCGAAGGGGCGCCTCAGCCGGATCCGTTTGGTGGCTTCGGGGGCCACCACCGAGATGCTCGGTTACGGTTTGGGGTTTAGGGTTTAAGGAAATATACCTTAAATTATAATGGCCGTAATATTATGAAATAAGGTAAATTCCTGAATTAAGGCATCTTGGGTTCTCTGGGTATTGTTGGCGAACTAAACGTCGCATGACCTTAACAGCCCCAAACTGGCAGGGTCTTGGCCTTTTTTGTGATGGACCAATCATTATGGTCGGTGTGGGTATTGGAGTAAGGGATGCCACTCATCCTTCGGAGATTTCGCAAAAACTCATCGGGCTGACTTGCCACAACCACACCAAAGCGTTTTGCCCAGGAATGCATCGGGCGGCTTTTCGGACCTCAACAGCCAACAGTCCCCATAACCGTTATAAGGTATAACCCTACCCATAGGCTCCATAGTAGTTCCCTTTTGTGGTTTATATTTGGGATCCGAAAAGGTAATCCCAAAAAGGAACTACTATGGAGCCTATGAGTAGTCACATTCAGGCTCCTCCTTCACAAAACCCAAGCTTTCGAGGAGGGGCTTTTCACTGCGCTCGTGGCCGCTGCCTCCACTTTGGTCGTGTCAGCAATTCAGGCGGTCACGCAGATACAATTGTGGGTCCCACCGTTCGGTGCCATCGTGCCTCAACTGAGACCAGAAGCTTTGTCCCGACATCCCATAAACCTAACACCCAGTAGGTGGGAGCAAAACATCCTAAGGAAAATTAAATCGGTTTTCTTTCACAGCTGCGCTTTTAGCCGACAGATCCTCCCTTACCTCGACCCTAAACCAAAGGTTTTTGTTTTCTCTCGGACTCCAGGTCCTGATATTTGCTGCCGAGGCTGTCGCAGCAGCTAAGGCAGGGAAAATCCTGTGCAGGAGGACACCTGAAGGGGGCTTAGGGTTATTCGTCGGTTTGGGTTTGGGTTTGGGGGCTTGTAAGGGTGAAGATAAGAGGTCAGGGTTGCGGTTTCATGAAGGCTTGAGCTTGTTGGAGCTCCTTCTTCTTCTTCTGCCGGGACGCCCCTCCCATATCGGAGAGGGACCAGGATGTTGCAAAGCTGGATCTCGTGGCTTCATGCACCTTGAATGGAGTGTAGAGTGTAGAGATTACGTCAAGCAGCAGCTGCCTGCCCGATATCGGTAGCCTACGCAGGAAGACAAAAAAGCCCACCCAGACCTAGAGTTCAAGAAGCAGTTGGCTGGGGGAAGATGGGATAAAATGCATGCCGAAACATTCGAAGATTCCTGGAATCAGAAGGCCCAGTCTTGACAAGCCTTTTACAACTCCGTGAGAATCCTCCAGAGCCATCTATATTGGGGTTTAGGGTTTAGGGTTTATATACGAAAGCTGGCTCCGCAGTGAAGCTGC